AGAAGTCTGTCTAGTCCAAGGTATGGTTTTTCCAGTAGTCATGTATGGATGTGAGAGTTGGTCTATAAAGAAAGTTGAGCGCTCCAGAATTGATGCTTTTGAGCTGTGGTGTTGGAGAAGACTCTTGAGAGTCCCTTGGACTGCAAGGAGATCCAACAAGTCCATCTGAAAGGAAGTCAATCCTGAATATTCATTGGAAGGACTGATGCTGAAGCTGAAACTCCAATACGTGGCCACCTGATGTGAAGAACTGACTCATTGGAAAAGACCCTGATGCTAAGAAAGATTAGGCAGGAGAAGGGGACAACAGAGGATGAGATGGTTGGATGGCATCACCAGCTCATGGATATGAGTTTGCATAAACTCCTTGAGTTGGTGATGGACAGGGAGGCCTGGTGTGCTGCAGTCCATAGGGTCACAAAGAGTCAGACATGACTGAGTGACTAAGTCCTAACTAAGTTAGACAAAGTCCTAACTAAGAGAGATACTTAAATAACTAACATGATCGTCTAACTAAACTAATGAGGTAAGTGCTTTTGATATTATATTTCTTTGGAGACCAGAGAAGAAAAAAGTCTCATTTCATTTTGTGATGAGGAAGTAGATAGTAACAGATCAGTGTTGAAGAATACATAGGATGTGAAAGAATAGAGAGTAATAAATTACTAATGGAAGAATAATCCTGCCCGGGAATACAGAAATGCAAACCTTAATGCTGAGGGCTTGGCAATGGGACACAGATTGGTATGACCTGAGGTAAAGATGTGTGATAATGATGGTAGGAAAAGGGGTGGAGTATATGGAGGGAAGAAAATGTAGGACAAAAGACTTAATCGAGCTAAAGAATATGTTTACTGTGCTAATGAGCTTATCCTTATCCAACGGGCATTGCGAAAGCGGAAAAAAGTACTTTTAAACAGTAAGGTGAAAATCCTTGGATGGAAAATAAGCCAGCAATTTGTTTGTTTTCTTTTTTTGTTCTTCTTTGTCCAAAGGCAGTTAAACATATTATAATAAATCACAGAAATATATATTCAGTGTTGTAGTTCTAAAGCATGGTCTACAAGGACATTCCCTGAGCTGTTCTATTGTGGTATTATGAATTTAATTGAAGACTTTTTTCCTGGCATGATTTAATGATTTTTCATATTATTAAATAGATGGGAAAAACACATACAAAGTGAATAGTGCCAGTTTTCCCATTCATTTGTACAGGATATTAACTGGTTAGTTGTTTTGCCAGTGTATTCTATGAATCAAAAATGTTTTATAGCAATTAGGAAAAAAATTAATGCTACTGAAACTTGTGATTGTTTCTTTTCAAGTCACAGGCCACAGGGATGAGACATCAGGGGACTTTCAGTAGCAGTCATTCAAAATCATGAAATATATTTACTTCTATTACTCATTTAACAAAAGGTAGTGTTTGCTATAAACTGATGCTTTTGTGAGTGTGTTAAGATACCTGTTAGTTGCTCAGTCATGTCTGACTCTGCAACCCCATGGACTGTAACCCACCAGGATCCTCTATCCATGGGATTCTCTGGGCAGGAAGAGTAGAGTGAGTTGCCATTTCCTTCTCCAGGGCATCTTCCTGACCCAGGGATTGAACCTGGATCTCCTGTATTGCAGGCAGATTCTTTATTGTCTGAGCCTCCAGGAAGATGTTAGTTAATTCAAGAGTACTTTTGTCTGTGGAGGTCTAGAAGAAACAAAGCAAAGAGGAACTAAAGAGCCTGTTGATGAAGGTGAAAGAGGAGAGTGAAAAAGCTGGCATAAAATTCAACATTCAGAAAACTAAGATCATGGCATCTGGTCCCATCACTTCATGGCAAATAAGATGGGGAAACAATGGAAACAGTGAAAGACTTTATTTTCTTGGGCTCCAAAATCACTGCAGATGGTGACTGTAGCCTTGAAATTAAAAGATGTTTGCTCCTTGGAAGAAAAGCAATGAAAAACCTAGACAGCACATTAAAAAGCAGAGACACTACTTTGCCAACAAAGGTCCATATAGTAAAAGCTATGGTTTTTTCAATAGTCATATGGTTGTGAGAGTTGGACCATAAAGAAGGCTGAACACTGAAAAATTGATGCTTTTAAACTGTGGTGTTGAAGAAGACTCTTGAGAGTCCCTTGGACTGCAAGGATATCATACCAGTTAATCCTAAAGGAAGTCAGTCCTAAATATTCATTGGAAGGACTGATGCTGAAGATTCAAAGAGCCGACTTAGAAAATATCCGATGCTGGGAAGATTGAGGGCAGGAGGAGAAGGGGACAACAGAGGATGAGATGGTTGGATGGCATCACCAACTCAATGGACATGAGTTTGAGCAGGCTCCAGGAGTTGGTGATGGACAGGGAAGCCTAATGTGCTGGAGTCCATGGAGTCACCGTCTCCTAACTGAATGACTGAACAACAACAAGAAGAAGAAACATTGCCTTCCTTGGGATATTTTAGAATTATCAAATGTCTTGATTAGAAGGGATGGGGACCCTTTCTCCTATTAATTTATGACCGTTATTTAAGATGATTTATATTTATGATTTGTATCTAACACAGAAAGAAAAGCTTGTTTTAGTGCGAAGAGATGGGGATTTGATTTCCAGACTTTCCTCTCAGTAGTAGTTTGAGATTGGCTAAGTCTCAAAATTTTGAGCTTCATCTTTAAAATGAGGATAATATCTTTTCTACCTTCATTCCTGGTAACTATGAAGACCAAAGAGGAAATCTGTATAATGGCAACATGAACATTAGAAAGCATTATTTGAATATGAGATATATTAATTCATATTATTTTCATATACTGTAGATTACATAATAAAAGTTACATCTTACATGGTAAAGGATGTAGGTGAGATTTAATTTACTGCTGAGATCATGTAGAGTTACATAAAACTCCATGGATTTTTTCTTTTTGATTTTTATGATCTTAACATTTTTTAATCTACTCACATAGGCTTTTCCCTTTAGATTAAATAATAACCACACTAAAAATCAGTTTTCATGTGTTCTTTACATCACACCTTCTATATGTCCACATACCTGTCTTTTAAACAAAATTTAATTAAGACAGAATTGTTCAGAAATGATGATCTGAGTTAAGAGTTTAAGAAGCACATGAGAGAACAGGTCTGTAATTGCCAGTTTCTAGTGCTTGTCCCAAAATTTTCAGATGCTTACATTTTTCCTGAGTATTTCAGCTATTGTGTGAGATGTATTATTCACTACAACATTTAATTTTTAGTGAGTAAAGCGGCACAGACCAGTAGATGGCCAAATTCAGTATAGTTCAGACTTACTTGGCAAGAGGATGGCTCTCAAAATCTACGAAGAGCCTTTGTTGAGTTCTTTCTATCATATATACATTTGTTGTTGCTGTAGTTTAGTTGCTAAGTTGTGTTTGACTCTGTGGCCGCGTGGACTGTAGCCCACCAGGCTCCTCTGTCCAGGGGATTTCCCAGGCAAGAATACTGGAGTGAGCTACCATTTCCTTCTCCAGGGGATCTTCCCCACCCAGGGATCAAATCCATATCTCTTGTATTGGCAGGTGGATTCTTTACCGCTGAGCCCCCAGGGAAGCCCCCATGCAAAAATTATTGGCCCACATATACTGTAGTCAATTGAATTTGGAAATAAACTAATTTAAGTCATAGCTCATAATGGAGAATTCAATTACAGTTATTTCTTTTTTTATTTACAAAACTTTTTATTTTCTTGTAAGAAATATTCATGGCGTGATGCTTCTGCATGAGTAGGTGTCTAGAAATGAATCATCCCCATCGTCATCATCATCACTACTATCCAGATTTTAAAAGGAATGACTATTTTTGTCCTCTAACAGTAAATATTGTCATCAAATATTTAATTCTAAGAAAAGTTTTGCTAGAACCCGTATAATAATCTTTTATCTTCAGAGAAAACACATGGAGACTTACTCTGCTAGGACATTATAGAATGAATACAATAATCAAAAGTGACAAACTAGTCATTGGAAAGAATTCCTGAGACCCAATTTCTATTTGAATATGAGTCATTGTGACTTTTACATATATAAAGGACTTAGGCAGTCTAATAATGGCAAATTGGAGCTATTTAAACTAAGATGGCAATAGTGTCCCTTTTAGGATAAAAAAGATAAAAGACACAAAGGATGACTCTCTGAAAACAGCTAGAACTTAGGCATTGATAATGTTTAAAAAATTATGTAGAAGTGGCATTCATTGTATAGTGCATAAATAAACTTTTATAGAAAATGCACTTTTATTTTAGTATTTTAGGCATGTGGGTTAATTGTTGGGTTTAGGGTAACCTAAGCTACACCGTACAGAATAATATTAAGGGCCTACTTTTCAAAATAAGATGATTGGCATCTCATATCTCATTTGGTTAATGTATTACTCAGGTTATGTTCTTTTCCCTTCATAAAGAAAACCATAATAATATTTTGGATTTCAGTGTAATAATGCTTCAGGGAAATGATGTGTGTGTGTGTGTGTGTGTGTGTGTGTGCGCTTTATTTGCTTTTCTTTTATGTCATCTGGGAGGAAGCTAGGCATTAATGATGTTATGGTTATTTTTAACTCTAATAACCCTTTTAACCTATAATGCTAGCGATATTCAATAGAAGCTTATTTATGGAAATATTTTGTATAGGAAAAACATAGATTTAAATATGCAAACTTATGTGGCAAAGCTTTATCATCTGACCATCCCAGATCTCATTGGTATTGTTTTATTTTACAGATATTTCCTTTTTACCAGGCTAGTCACTTCTTGTTCTGTACCTGCATATACTCTTACAGAAGTTAATTACAGCTATTGGTCAAGAGCACTTTGACTTAATATTTTCATGGCAAGAAAAGGAATAGAGTAATGATTGTATATCTTAACTGAAGCTGAACCATAAGTGATCTGGCTCAAGGCCCTCAGATATAATTTTTCAGACTTCCAAATAAATAACAATTGTAAAATTAAATCAATTTTATTTACTTCCAGACCATGTGGATGAGCGGACAGTATGCAATGGAATAGCCCCTGAGAAAGATGTAGATGGATTTCATATTATTAACATTGGAAGACTATGTCTTGATCAGCATTCTCTCATACCTGCCACTGCTAGTGCTGTTTGGGAAATTATCAGAAGAACAGGTTGGTCTATGGGACATAGGTGCTAAGTGCCACATGAGCATTTGTGCATTGCCTTGATGGAAAGGGTGAAAGAAGATAAACTTCAATCTACAGGAATAGATAAAGTTATAGACATTGAAGAATAATCTGAGATAAGATAAAAAAAGAAATGGTACCAGGTTACAAGTAACTGCTGTGTCAGCTTTCAGGGAGTGTATTTTCCAAATAATAGATTTATCTCCCTACTTTAAAACTATAAACTTAAGGTATTTTGATATATATTTTTCAAAATGTGTTATGTTTCTCCTTACCTTTAAAAACAAAATGTGCTGAACATTTGAGCCATCTCTAATGACCTAGGTTTTCATTGTAGACACTTGCCCTTGAATTGTGCTCTAAATAAAATAATGCTCTCAAAGAACCTCTAGCAGGCAGGTGATAGTTCCCCTGCCTCCATCACTGTCACTTAACATTTCTGGCAGCATCTCCTCATCCCAATCTGTTCTTTTCTAACTGAGAAAGAGAACTTTCAAGGGAAAGCAGATCCTAGAATTATATTAATAGAATTTTAATAGTTATAAAACTTTAATTCTAATTTTTTCATTTTACTTATGAAGAAACTATGCCCCAAAGAGGTTAAGTGTATGAAATCTGTAAGCTTTACCTTTCAGATCTTTCTAAATCTGTACATGTAGTGCTTCCCTCCCATGAAGTAAACCACGTAAGTTTTATGAAAAATAGTTTTTCCCCACTTCATTTTGTCCTAGATTTGCTCAAAGTTTGGTTGCCAGTTAATCTTGACATTGTTGTACCTTGCCTGTTTTATGATAATGAATTTTAAGTCTTCACACTTCTACCTCTTCATGTGAATTTTCATGTTTAAAATAATTTAATGACAACTTGAAAATGTTTGTGTTTTTTTTTTTAATGAGGATATAACGAGAGGGAAAGTGACAAAACCAAAAAGTATAAAAAGAAATATTTTAAAATAATGAATGTTGGAACATTATAGACAATTTACAAAATAATTCAAATTTAATTAGAGGTTTTTAAAGAATATTTGTTGGCTGTTCAGATGATTATTTTGCTTCTTGTTGTTTATTCTTCATTTAAATCAAACTCTGTGTTTTAAGGAATTGAAACATTTGGAAAAAATGTTGTTGTGGCTGGAAGATCCAAGAATGTAGGGATGCCCATTGCCATGCTCTTACACACAGATGGAGAACACGAGAGGCCAGGAGGTAGGTGCTGCTTGGAGATTCTATGCGCTCTTATTAATACAATTTCCTTACTTCCTAAGCTCTTCAAATAAAAATGTGTTTGGAAATGTGGTTTAGCATATTTGTGGGCTTAATGCAAATAAAGGTTTCCCTTATTCTTCATCTAATGACATGTGTGCATGCATGCTCAGTTGATCAGTCCTATCTGATTCTTTGTGACCCCATGGACTGTAGCCTGCTGGGCTCCTCTGTCCATGGCATTTTCCAGCAAGAATACTAGAGTGGGTTGCCACTTCCTACTCCATCTAATGACATGAGTGCCTTGATAATGTATAAAAGAATTGCTGGAAATATGTGGTCCCTTTGTTCCTATTTTTTTCTTTTGGCTATGTGTACTTCCTTCATATCCTTAAACATATAGAGATTATGGAGGATCATATGGAGAGTCCTTAAAAAATGAGGAATAAAACTATCATGTGACCCAGCAATCCCACTCCTGAGCATATAGCCTGAGAAAACCACAATTAAAAAAAGACACGTGTACCCCAATGTTCATTGGAACACCGTTTACAGTAGCTAGGACATGGAAGCAACTTAGATGTCTATCTACAGATGAATGGGTAAAGAAGTTGTAGTACATATATACAACGGAATATTACTAGCCATAAAAAAGAGTGCAGTTAGTCAGTTCTAGTGAGGTGGATAAACCTAGGGCCGTTATGCAGAGTGAAGTCAGAAAGAGAAAAACACATACCATACATTAACACATATATATGGAATCTTGAACAATAGTAGTAATGAACCTGTTGGCAGGGCAGGAATATAGATGCGGATGTAGAGGACACTTGTGGACGCAGAGGGGAAGGAAAGAGTAGGACAGGTTGAGAGAGTAGCATTGCAATATATAGACTACGTGTATAAAACAGGTAGTCAGCGGGATGTTGCTGTGCGGCGCAGGGAGCTCACCTCATGCTCTGCGACGACCTAGAGGGTGAGATGGGGATGGTGCTAGAGAGGCTCAAGAAGGAGGAAATCTATGTATACTTATGGGGGGTTCACACTGCTATACAACCTACACAACACTGTAAAGCAATTATCCTCCAATTAAAAATTAAAATATTAAAAAAAGAAAGGTAGAAAGGCTAGATACATACTAGATGCATAAATATCACATGTTGATAGCTATCTGTATATCCATGTACACCATCTCACTAAAATACACCACCAACGCATGGATATAAGATTTTTTTTTTTTTTTACCATTATTAACCTTGGTGAATTCCAGTTTCCTGTTATAACATTTTCTAACATTTTCTTTCAAGTTGACTCTTGAACAGCATACGTTTGAACTGCACAAGTCCATTTATATTTTTTTCGAAATATTTACATACTACAGTACTATACAATCTGTGGCTAGTTAAATCAGTGAATATGGAACCATGAATACAGTGGCTGACTATAAAGTTATAGGTGGATTCTCAACTGCACAGAGGGTGGGTGTTCTAAACCTCCGTATTATTCAAGCGTCAACTATACTAATTGTATGACCTTGGTTAACATAATTCACGTGAAATATTTTTTTAAACCGTGAAGCCCAATGGAAAAACAAGCCCAATGATAACAAATCACTTATACAAAGTGATGAATTACGAGAATTAAATATTGTTTTTCCTTCCTGGGATTAAGGTCTTAAATATTACCAGATCAAAATGTGTATGAGGATCAAAGTTATCTTGGGCCTGATAGTGACTCAAAGTAACTTTAAAAAGCCTTAGTTTTGGACTTTTCCGGTGGTCCAGTGCTTTAGAATTTGCCTGCCAATGCAGGGGACATGGGTTCGATCCCTGGTCTAGGAAGATTCCACATACCCTGGAGCAACTAAACCTGTGCCCCACAATTACTGAGCCTGTGTGCCTAGAGCCTGTGCTCTGCAAAAAGAAAAACCACTGGAATGAGAAGCCTGTGTGCCACAACAAAGAGTAGCCCCTACTTACCACAACTAGAGAAAGCCTGTGCAGCAAGGAAGACCCAGTGCAGCCAAAAGTTAATTAGTTAATTATTTTAGAAGTCTTAGTTTTGAAGAACTGTTCAAAAGACCAAATCTGGTAGTATGAACTTTGTAGATGGTAGCCTACAAAGAGATGGAGATGATGGAGATGCATCTCTAGCTTAATTATTCACTTCTAACATAGTCTGTTAGTGCTCATCTGTGTATCTCTTAGGATGTGGTAATGATGTTGATTCATATTTGCCTTTATTTAATAGTTTCTGTTAAGCAAGGTAAAATAACCAGAAAGATTTACCTACGTATACCATTTTTGTTGGAAGATTTTGACTGAGAGTCACTCGGCAGGTTTTTCTTCATTTTCAACATATTGTTATCTTATTTCATCAGTAGCGTATCAAGCAACATTATGCAACTTCATTATTTGCACAGCACTTTCTCATGAACTATCCTATTTCGTTCTCAATAATTCTGGAATATATTCATATTCACATTTTGCAGCTAAAGGAAATGAGCTTTGAAACTGCAGTAGCTTACCCAAGGCCATTCAAGGAAATGGTGTACAGAGTGGGGCTGGGGGCTGACTGTCAGTTAGGAGGGTAGTTTTTTGGTTTTTTTTTTAGGAGGGTAGTTTTGAAGTCACACTCCTCTCCTACCACGCCCTGTATCCTTGGACAAATCATTTAATCTGTGCAAGCCTCCACTTCCCTCATTTGTATCTTTTTTGCTGGGTTATCATAAAAACTGAATTAGATTTGAATGTGAAGCACTACTCACAGTGCCTGAGACAGTAAGTTAAGTAAGCCCTTGGTACATGTGAACCATGGCTATTACTATTATTTCTATTATTATGCTTAAGGCAATAATCTGAGGCCATACAGATGAAAAAGTTTAGAGTAACATAATCTAAGGTTAATGATGAATTTTTAACCTCCATTTGAAATTTTATTTTCTTTTTTGTGGTGGGTTTTCTGTTTGCTTTTATTTGGATGAAATCTAATCTTTGTTGTAATAATTTGCATAAATGTAGAATTTATAAAGTTTATAAACATGACATAATATTCCAAATTATACTTTATATTGTGCTTTTTCTTATACATATTAACATATTGTATGCTAATTTCTTGATAAATTTCAATTTTGAATTATTTGTCTATAAAATACCTAAGTTTAAGAAAGTCAATTTCCCTCCTCTTTATGCAATTGAAAAGGAGATTTTCCTATATCATAAAACGCATTAACTTTATAAATATTCTGTGCTTTGTTTTGCAAGATATGTTCACTTGAATGCATGTTAAAAAGTGAATAAAAGCAGAATTAGATATAGTACTGGTTACTTACATGCCAGGTGGTTAAATTTGCATTTATTACAGTGGCACCTAGGTGCATTTATAATTACAGTATCTAAAAGGTAATATATTATAAATGATATTGGTCATCACAACATGGGTGGTGTTTAATCTCATGAACATTTAATAGGAGTATGGTGACATATATGATTAGTATGAATTGTTGAGAGCTGCTCACTGAAAATCTGGAATCTGTGGGAAAGTTAATATTTCAAATGTCCATGTCTGTTAGAGCAGTGATTATGTGGAGTGACTGCATATGCATTGTTAGCTAGTGGAGATAATAAAGGAGGATTAACTGGGCAAATTCCTATCTATAGACCTTGTTGTGATGACACTCATAATGATGAGCATCAGCTCATGCTATATTTCTTTGCCAGAAAAGATTCAAAGCCCTAATGATTCATTTGTGTTTTAAAGCCAAAGTTAATCACACTAGAAGACATATAGCGAGGCTGTGGTACTATTGCAGTGGCATTAATGCTAGGAGATTTTAAAAGAGCATTATGGAAGATTTTGCTTAGAGTCCTATGGACCCAGGGGTGTTCTTGATTTCATTTGTGCAATATGCATTCAGTACATATACTCATTGAAACACTAGGGTGGGGGGTGGTAGAGTGTTGGAAAAAACTTGGGTAGCACTAGTGGTAAAGAACCTGCCTGCCAATGCAGGAGACATAAGAAACCTGGGTTCGATCCCTGGATTGGGAAGATCCCCTGGAGAAGAGAATGGCTACCCATTCTAGTATCCTTGCCTGGAGAATCCCATGGACAGAGGAGCCTGGAGGGCTACATTCCATGGGCTGGCAAAGAGTCGGACGTGACGGAAGCAACTGAGCACATACAACCCTGTCTCCAGAAGATGAGGGATTGCATCTTCAGGACACCATGTTTTCTTAAAGCTCGGCTTCCTCATTGATATTCACCTTTTGCACTCAAACAATCCATCTGCTGCAACTTCTTTATATAAGGTACATTTTTTTTTTTTGTTCAAGGGACATCCTATATAAATGGAAAAACCTCAAGATATTTTGTCAGTGGAATGCCTTGCCTTTGTGAAAATTGGCTCCAGTTGTGAAAAATGAACATTTTTGCCACCTTGGAAGCATTATCTCTCACTTTCAGGAGGGGCCTTCAGGTGGTAATACAGGAGTGGATGTTCCAGGCAGTGCAATGTGATATGAGTGCCATGTGTGATTAAGCTCAGCCCAGCGCTAGATTGGGCCAGATGTCCTCCAGTATCAAAGAGAGGAACCAAAAAGGAATGCCTGGGAGAGGAGTCACACAAAGCAATCACAAAGTCTCAGTCACAAGACTGAGATTCTTGGTCTTGTTGCTAGGGGAGTGAGGTGGACTTTTGCTGCCTCTGTGGAATGAACCATTGTCAAACTGGGGCAGGGGGACACCAGGCATATAGTCTTTATTCCTCCCATCCCACTCTTCCTAAGGTAAAAGTGCTCACGGTAAGATATTAGGGAAATTATGTTTTGTGATGCCTCCGTGTTGAGTCAAATTCACTGAATTATAGCTTTGAGTTTGTTTAGTGGACAGCAATAGCAAAGAACAAGTGCTTGTTGCAGTCTCACTTTTTGTGTTGAATAGTAGGAGTACTGTTTCATTTTCAGAGTATCTGAAATTCAGCCAGCTAGTATCTGGAAAACACTGTA